GCGGTATCATGCGTGCTACACGTAAATAACGTATATAACGTAAACTGTGAGGGCAGGCGGTTTAGGCGAGTCGCAATTATGCTATCTAAGAGTGCGTTTCAACCAGTTTGTAGGTCTCTTGCATAAAAATCCTAATTGTGATCGAAATGGAGTCTACGCATCAATACTAAACTCACGAAGGGCGAAGTTCACGATTAGAGGGCCATTAGAATTCAGATAGAGGTGGAAGGTGGTGCCGGGATGAAGAAAAAACATGAGAAACGGCCCAGAACCCGAGAAGGGGACCCCTTCCTTGCCCGTTGATTTCCGCATTGATGCGACTCTCATCGGTGCTGCCCTCTTCAACGCTAACGCTCTCTCTGCTAAACGGCTAGAGACCTGCGGCGAGTGGTTAGCCAGTCGGTGGGCGTGCCGCGTCGATAGCGCCGCGGGGACGGCCATGCTAGATCGCCGGGGCATATCCTTCGCTGCGAATTGCATGCCGGTCCACGCCTTCAGCGGTTCCACCTACCTAGCTATATTTCTCCTTCTTCGACCTCCGACCCTATCGTGGAATCCTCAATTAGTTCCAAGACATATCACTGACACTCCAAGCACCAGGATTTCTTTTGTCGTACCGTTCTGTATCGAGATATTTCAAGCAGAATTTCTTTAGATCTTTGGTAATTGTATGGGACTTCAGTTTGAATCCCGGCAAAATCAATAATGGCTGCGAATGCGAAGCGCAAATGAGTAACCTTGTTGATGTCACTTTTTATCTATATTATGGCACAATGTTTTTTTATAACTTGTGTTGATAAGATCTCTGTTGACAGCCGCTTAGTCGCGTCATTGTCTGGAGAAGCACTTGCAGACGATCGATGATTCGGAACACTTCCAGATGTGATATGGTCTGGGTAACCGTTACTGGCATTTGGTTAGGCACCCAGCCTCTCAACAGACATCACCTTGATTCCAACAATCTTCCTATACCCTGTCAATGTTATTCTACAATGCGCTCGCGTAGTCTCCCTTTGAAGAGCTGCAGTGACTCAAAAGCACATGCCACGATATATCAATTTGGGTTACTGTGCTCAAAAATGAAGGTTAACGCGATTAACGACTCGACTATAATCAGAAGAAATTGCCGAAAGCGCCATGAGTAAGATCCTAGGATTTGCAACTAATTATCAGCTAAGTGCGAGCTTTCGATGAAGAATAATGACCCTGGAACGAGATACCAGACGAATAAAGGACGAGTGAGGAGAGAGACGAGGGAGGCGACAGGTAACATGGACGGCCTCGATAAAAGGCATGGCAGCCAATGGGAAACCTCTTTTTTTAAACCACATGATCGGCCAGCTTACCTTACCCGCGAACGGAGCAGATATTCAGCTCATGAATAAATAAATAAATAAATAAATAAACAAATAAATAAATAATATGGAGCAGGGATGCCGGTGGACCTGCCAACGAAGAAAAAGGGAAAAGCGCCAAAATCTATGGTAACAACAATCTTCTTTGGGCGGTGGATGGGTCTACGAGGCAGACAGTTTGGGAGGCACTGGCGCCGAGGTGAGAGAACAGACTCGGAGGCGAGAGAGCATAGAGGACGAGTGAGACGCAGACATCAATTAATTTGCGAGGATTGCCATGCGTGGCATGCGCATGGAGACATTTCATACCAGCAGAGCGTTTTGAGCCGCGCAAACGCGAACTTCTCATATTGAAATCTCAGTCACGAAAGCGATTCACTCAATTAACGATTAGCGTAATGTGCCTTTAAGTTCTTCAGATGATGGCAAAACATCCCCCACGATCAGCCCTTGAATGCAGCATGCAAACAAAGCAAGATCACTAGATCATCACCATAAAGTAACAGTGTCACAGACCAATATCTAAGGGATTGCGGAAGATTTGACACCGTGATCGAGCTCCGCCCACTCTACCACCGCTGTGTTTTGGTATCTGTTCCCCATCCATTTCGAAATGTAAAAGCCAAAGTTAAAATATTGCAATCCCACTTTCACAGACCCTGGCGCGGAACTGGATGTTCATTTTGGCTAACTTCTATCAGCAATTTCGGTTCATGGAACCTAGCCATCCCTAAACGATGGCCTCAAAGTGCATGGGCAGGCGTGGGTATCGATCATCGATGTATTCGATCTATGGCGTCGCTAAACCTTGCAAAATGATGGAGGCTGTCTAGTTTTGGAACTTTATACCGACCATTCAAAAACATCATTTAAAAACCAATAACGAACAGAGACCCACAGTACCGTCAAAACGAAATCACCGCAGAAGTATTTTTGCCACAACTCATCCAAAACGTGATATATTTGACAGCTTTTTGGCAACATTTTTCGTGCTTATCGATCCTTATGCGAGGCTCAAAAGGGGCGAGAGATCAATTCTCGTCAATAGAGATGACTTTTTTTTATGGAAATTCACGAAAGTGGCAAATTTTCGGGTCAAATTTCCAGATGTTTTTGTCTTGGAATAGAAATTGATTTCTAGTTTGTTTCTTGTTAGTGAGATCAAAGTAGGGTGAAGTTATTTCTCTTGTTCAATTAAGGCCCCTACACAAGTGAGAGTGGGTAGCCTAGCTTTTCACACATGTTCGAAGTGAGTGCCTCACCCACCCGCCCAGATTCGCTGCACCCCTTGGCTCACGAATGCCCATATTTTCAGTCAAGAGTAAAGTTAGCGCGGTCAAGCAGTACACTGCGGACGTGGCCACCCCTACTTGTATAGCACCCGCAATATATAGGATCAGGTCGGTGAAGAGTTTGAAAGACAGTAAAATTTTGCCATGTTTCGAAAAAACATGTGAAAATATATCAAATAAACCGGAATTAGAAATTTTTTAAGGTTTTCCAGTTTGGAATTATTTCCGATTATTGCTGGCACTAACATGACAAAACCATCTAAAAATATGTTTGACATGGGCTATGGCAAAAACGTCTACGGTGATTTATGTAGTTTTAGAGCTAAAATGGAATATTCGAGTGCCGTTGAGGGCCATGAGAATACCGTGAGTGTAGAAAAAAGAAGAAGTACAAACATATTCGAAATATTGAGATGATCGATTTCTGATATTTCTGAATTATTGCTTCTGGAGATGACGCCTAATTGTATTAAAGGTGAGGAGATGGTCCTAGGAGCTTACCAGAAAGGCACTCAACTTCCCATGGAACTTTGATTTGAGGACCCATTTGCATCGATAGAGCTTCAAACGCTGATTACAGACATGGAAATTAAAACTGCAAAGCTGCCTAGGAAATTGAGAGCAGCGCAAATCTGGTGAAAGTGAAGGAAACAGTCAAGTACGGAACCGGCTGGCTCTCCTGGGCTTTCAGAGTCGCCATGGAGATCAGCGGTAGTACCTCGCTACTCTACTCGGGACATTCACAACTTGCCTTCCCGTTTGGGGCAAATCCCAGGAGTACTGAACTTACATGCGACTCTGATAACGAAGCGTGAACCGCTCACGTTGGACAAGTGCCGAAAAAATCTTTACGGCTCCTGTCCTTCGTTTCATAGGGAAGGGCCTCGAGTACGATATCCCACCCCCACCTCAGCGCGTAACCAATTTCACGACCATCCCTCACCACCTCGCCTCGCCGAGGCGCCATCATAGTTTAGCGAATTCGAGCATTATCGATCTGAGGACAAGCTCGACACTGGCCAACTCGCCACTTTTCCTCCAAAATTGCTCGACGTCACGGGGGTGGGTGGGGGGGGGGTGATATCGAACGCGATATATCCAACGCGAAACGATCGCACTCAAGCTCGCTATCCATTTCATAAAAAATCATTCTTTCCCTTACTGTTACATTGACGCTACCTCGCGAAATACGACCCCCCCCCCCCTACGGCTTGACTTTGTCCAAACGGTGACGGTGTTGACCCTGCCCTGAAAAGCTCAGAGTCCAGGCCGTCATTAATCATGCGCAACTTGACTGCTGCATATTTCCTTGTAGGCAGGTTCTTGTCCATTTTTATTTTCCCTTATTTGTAATAGGGCTGCTGCTTGATAGCAAACACTTTTCAACCAGTTATGTAAGCTGGACGCGTAGAGTAACCATCATCTCCGCTGTCCATACTCGACCTCCGCGCTCTACACAATTCACATCGACGGTCGCGTGCGCGGATCAGTTACGCAAGGTGCATTTCAATAGGCCTAAAAAGGCATTCAAAGATGATTAAGGCCGGAAGTTCTTTTACAGAACGCTTTAGCTCATTTGACTCGATTTGTTGCCTGAGTACTTAATTCAAAGAGTCTCCTCTTAGGCGCCTTAAATCAGTGCCCGGAAGGAACAGATGAAAGAAATGGCGACGGCGAAATTACGTGCGACGTGCAAATGCAGACCTTTACGTGTTCGGCTTCTGGTTAACAACTAGGAGGGGACATAAAGCAAGAAAAACTTTCTGTGAAATTTAGCCTGTAGGCAAGTTTCCCAAACACGGATGCCGAGAGGAAGTTCATCAGCGCGTAAATAAGTATCGTTGCGATCACTGCTTTGAGAGCTAAACGATAAAGTTCACTTCCAGGTTCGGAGCAATGTGAAGGAGCAGCTCACCTTGTTACTGTTACCCTTAGAGATCTGTAACCCGACGCTGAACGCTTCGACGCCCTTGTGTAGGATGAGGGAGATGAAAAGGGTGACGATTCACGCAGTTGTGTTCTGAAATGAATAGTTGCAAGGGCAGTTCATGGATTACAGGAGGGTACAAATAACTGTGCAGGACCTGAACTCCGAGAGCGAAACCCTCGAGGATCGAGTGGAACGACATGGCGACGGCGAACGTCAGCGATTTCAGCAGGGATGCTTCGGACGATTCGGCAACGGCATAGTTCGCTGTTTCTTCCATAACAAGGCTGAATCTGCACCTCACGGTTATACAAGCACTGTTCCTTCCTCGTGGCTGAACTGAGGGACTAGCTACGATCTATACTACCTTTGTAACTGAATTTTCAACACTACTAAACTCAAAATGTTTGTTAAAAGACGGGTTACTTGTTTTTAGAAGAGGTGTGTCAGAAAGGAAGCGTTCTAGAGGGTGATAGTGCAACAGTGATGCAAACCTGTGCGTTGGCAAACCGGCGGCTTTTAGCTCCTCGTCGCTCATCAGACCAAGAAGTGCTTGAGTACTGAAAGCTGTAGCACATGCAAATGTTAGCCAGAAGCCGGAAAAGTGTTAGAAGTTTTGAGTTTTACCGATCCCTAGCGAAGGTTACAAAATGAGACTTTAAGCTTGGTTTTACCAAGTTTGGCCTAATCTTGTTCTTGGAGCTGTACTAAGTTGCGCTTCTGTAACTTCAGGCCACGAAAAAGCTATTCTGCCTAGATGGAGGCGTAGTTCTACAGAAGACGACCCAAAAAGAACAAGGTGAAGAGCCTGGCTGTCTGCTTGAAGCCATCCCTCCCCCGAATAGACCACTGGGGGAAGTCGCTCAGTGGGTATATGAACAGATGTTTGGCGAGAAAATACCGAATGTCCGTTAATTCGTCTAAAGAGTACGCACAAGGGTCCAGACTTTGAAATGCCACGTTTACTGGTGATCATGAGCGGGTAGTAGATTCGATGCCTTTTGCGCAACGACCGTGCTTCTGTGCCCTCTCATGCAGCGTGGTCTTTCGCATATTCCCGCTTCTCTGCGCGCTATGTCTCTTGTCGCACCGCGCTGACCTTACACAAAGTTTAAGCCTGTAATTTCAGTGTTTCGGGGATTTACTTGGTCTTTTTTGCTTTTGCTCACTGAACATTCTGCTCCTCCACTGGTGAGCGCTCTTACACACCAACTCTATCCTAGAGCATGCCTTTTAGTAGAGCCATTTCGGTAAGCAGATACTCTCAAAATATGAAAGTGGATGTGTCAAAAGGTGCGTTTGTGAAGGAAAAAAGGGCATTCAACCAGGCAAATCCCCTTGAACGAATGGGACCCGTTAATTTCAGTTGTAGACGAGTTTATCGCCAATGTAGAGGTCATTCCTTGAAAAGAAGCACTGAGATTACGCCAACGGGAATCAAAAGGCAGTTGCTAGTCCATGAACAGTGCAATAGTGAGCTTAGAAAGGGAAACTGAATGGTGACGAAAACGGTTTAACTTCAAACACATTGCCGGAATCAGGCCCTCGCAGGAGCCGGCGGTGGGCGTATCTGAGAGAACCATGGCGACCTTTGAGCAGAGTCAACCCTGCGTTGCGCAGTTCGCAACGGCACGTTGAGAGATCCTCAACGCACGCTGTATGGGCGGAGACGCAGACGGCTCGAGCATGCGAGTGTGAATGTTCGCGCGAGAGAACGTGTCTAATCGGGCGAAACTGCGCAACGTGGCCGTTGAGAACTGCGCAACGCAGGGTTGACTCTGGCTTTGAGACAACTTTAAAGGAATCTTCCGCGGAAAAAGCTCCGCCTCCATTACCACAGAAAAACGATACCCCTTAGGCCCCTAGCCTCATGAGCATAGCAAAAAGAACGGAACATAAGCGTTAGTTTCGATAATACTAATCCTACACACAAGACAAAATGATCACTCTTTCCGTGGAAGATTCCTTTAAGGTATCGTTTTCTGTGGTAATGAGGGCGGAGCTTTTTCCGTGGAAGATTCTTTTTACGTTCATTGATGGCCCGCCTTCCGTCGATGTAGGTACCTGTCGTTCCTTTTGGAACTCCTCTATTCCTCCATTAAGCAACTGTTCGCTTTCGTTCTCGAGAACGTCCGTTTATCGCGATTTTTGCCCTTGAAAGTCTGTAGAGTTCCTAAGAAGGTTTTATTGTTTTGTTCTATGGCATTACTCGCTGCACTACAGCAGGGAAACCAGTCCTCACACTGAAATGGACTTCCAAGATTGTACTGCCATCGTTAACAATAATGGTGATTCGAAATGTCCATAATGTCCCTACTTCCTTGACTTCGTTTCAGCTGAGAGTAACAAGTACACCTAGATACTGCTTTAGCTCCCCATTTTGAGAGGTGACTTTTCGCAAAGGGCTTTTTCAAAGCACATTCCGCACTTATGGTTTACGGCACGCTGGGTTTAGCGCAGATTGAAGATTAGAGGTGTGAAGTGGTACCACCAGCTTAAAAAAGGTGAAGAGAAGGCCAAAATAAGGAAACAGAGAAAATCCCAATTTTTAGAGGTGAACGTGCTATGACGGAGACATACTGTGCATGGGGGCGAAAGAGCAGATGAGAGAGCATAGGAGAAATGTGAGGCGCAGACACCTCGCTAAACATCGTGAACAACAAGTTATCCTCGCAGACTGTAGTGTCTTTGCTGCGCAAGAATGGAGTGAAATGATGTCGTATCTTAGAACGTTGTCCGGCGTGTAGCGCTTATGGTAGCCTTTTGGAAAAAAGGGTTCGATTCTACCTGGTTTACCATCGAATGTTCGTTTGAAAATTACCCCGTGCTTTGTTTACGATAGCATCACAGTCAAGTTATACTGTAGAGCCTAATCTATCAGTCAATCTAGATGGTTCAAAGTTCTTTTCAGACGCTTTCTACGTTCTCCAGACATTGTGGGAATGCCACCTTCTCCGAATGCTTCCCCAAGTGCCTGATTTTTTCTGGAAAGCACTACTCGAAACGACCAGAGTCACGATGCAGTCAGTTTTGTGATATACTGTGATAGTAAAGATTAGACAGCTTAGTTCATGCCAAGCGAAAGAAATAGAAGTCTGAGTGAGCTTAACCGAATAAATGTTAAGTGCTGCATGCATGCCGTGCAAAGAAGTTAGTTCATGCGTGATTAGTTTAGTGCACAAACACGTACTTTCTCAGGTTGAGATTGTCCTTCTGAGCGGGTTTCTCCACCTCCACCGTACTACCGTGGTCGTGCTTCGATTTTCCGCGAACACCCTGCAATCACAATAGCTCTACGTCGACGAAATCCAAGCATTTTGAAACTTTATAGCGCTTAAATCTCTTGATTGCGCTGGGCTGCCAATTTTTGATAAAAGCCTGTAAGGCAGTGCTTACGATAAATAGAGCGTGACCAAGGGAATATATGCACCACTGCAAACGGTGACTAGAGGCAAAGGTAGCAGATGCTTCGTTTTTGCAATGTGAGGAGGGCTAGTTGTGGCGCAAACGTTAAAAAATCGCCCCGCCCCAAAATCGCTCCGCCCACGATTGGATGATGCGAAACGACTATAATCGCCTTTCAGTTTTGGAGGTTTTAGCGTTTTTGTATAGAGAGCCGATAATGTATGCTATACGAAGTTATTGGTTTCGTATTGTGCATTTTTTAAAGCAGGGTGAAACTCCAGTTCGGGGGGGGGGGGCACTCCATTTTTTCTCCAATACTCAAGATAAGGATTAGAGGGCTCACGACACGTAATCGACTCATTTAAAGTAGACTTCTGATAAATATTGGTGTAATGGGTGAGAAACCCTGAAACGTTTTCACATTTCCGCCTGCCATGACCCAAGGGAACGGTCCTGGACCAGGAGAAAGGACACCTCCGCAAAGGGCTAAGGGTGCAGGAGCTCCAGGGTGGATCACCTGTGCAGAAAAGTGGATGGGATGTGGGCAGGTAGTGTGGAATGTAGGACATCCACCGGTCCTTATCAAAAGTACGCTCGAAATGAGTCGTTCACTTATTATCTTATCCGTAGTGTTCGATAGCCCAAAGAACTGCTCTCTAGTACTACGGATAAGATAGCAATGGAGTGGCCCCCCCGAACTGGAGTTTCACCCTCAAAAACACACAATCAAAAGCCAAAGGCTCGTCACGCGAAACCCAGCGATTCACGAGCGTCCCGATGGTCGCGTTGCTCCAGGTACCAGTCGATCGAGCGATTCGATTCGATTCCTGATGCGACCGTGACGCTAGAAAATCGCTTCGCTCGCGAAGTTTGACATCGGCTATAGCGATAAAATATGAAACAATTGTGAACCTTTCCGGGTTTAAAATAGCTTCCTTCTTAAGTTGACGGTAACACAACCTTTAGCACCTCTTATTTCCATTCTGAACCCATCCAAAACTAGCATGCTCACTGCCTTTGATGAAACTAAGTAGAAAAGCCTCTTCGTTTAAAGAAGGGAAAGTTGTTTATTTGATTTCTAGCAAGGCCAAGGCGAGTCACCAAATATGGTCTTATCGTATGCACATTGTCTTTTATGAATAGCTACAGTACCACTCAGCGCCCCCTTCCCCACCCTCCTCACAATAATTCCATACAGGGTACCCAAGCTGGTTGTTCGTCCATCGTAATAGCGAACGTTGTTCCAGAGCTAGTTATAAAATGGCCGTAGAGCACAAACAAAGACATTTTGATCCAACCAGGTCTTCCATTTCCCAGTAGTTTGAGCTCACATCAGGCCAGCGCGACACAGTCACATGGCGTGAAAAAGGTAAACCGCCCCTGGCTCGCGAAAAGTGAACGTGTGTATTTGAGCGGATTTTTTTTTGTTGGCTCATCGAGGAAGTTCGGCCAAAAGTGCGCCGATTGTTCTGCTAATCCCTGCGGCCACGACTGTTTGATATAAATACGTAAATACGGCTGAGGCGGGGGACAGGCCTCGAACGTAAACAAGTGAAAAAGTGTGACTTGGGGTTCGCAAAAAGAACTTACCTTGATGCACACTTCCTCGATTAGGTAAACAATGAAGAAGCCAATGCAAGTGAAGAATTGCGGTAGCGGAAACTCGAAATCGGTGCCCGATAAAACTTTGAAGTCCTCGTAGTTCTCGCTGAAAAGTCACCAATAAAAAGTCAAAAAAGTCATCAACAAAAAAATGCTCATAAATTTTTGTGTACACGTTGTGTACATTCGCATTCCTTGATATGAATGATAACTGAGCAAAACCGTGTGCTTGATTCAAATCAAGTTCGGGAAAGTCCAAGAAGTCGAACTGATAGCATTAGGAGAGGCTTTGAGTGATCCGCATCGCATTAAAATAGCCAGATCTCCTATCATCCTTCCCGTGAGTTACTTAAAGGCACAGGCCGCAATCGAGATGGCGCGTTACTTCGTTCGCAAATAAAAAAAGGGGTGCGAAGAGGACAGTCAATGGGGAAAATGCGCAAGGGAACGTAAAAAACAAAATTGAGGTCTTCCTCTTTTCTGAGACCAACCGTGTTACGGCGCAGAACTGTGCGCTGCCAGGAGAGGGAAAACGCGAAAGATACGAGAAGGTACAGATGCCACTATGCCGCGAACCATAAACATGGCAGCTGTTGCAGTGGTCAAAACAGATCCTTCCCTTGTGAATCACTTAAAGGCACAGGTCGCAATCGAAATGGCGGGTTTCGCTCGAAAATGGAACAAGAGGTGCGAAGACGACAGTCAGTGAGAAAAAAGCTTAGGAAACACTGAAATTGAGGTCCTCCCCTTATGTGAGATCAACCATGTTACGGGGGAGGAACCGTGCGCTGCGAGGACAGGGAACACGCGAGGGTACAGGCGAGGGTACAGATGCCACTGTGCCACGAACGGTAAACGTGGCAGCGGTTGCAGCGGTCAAAGCAAGGCCTTAACACCTATGCGATTTCGGATTGCAACATTGCCATGACCTGTTGACTCTGACTCTGTTGCTGTCTTAGCGCACCAGTTAGTGCAAGGATAAATAAATAAATCAATAAACAGATAAACAACTCCTCTGCTCAAGGATCCTGCTTCCTTACTTACGAGGAGGATTCCGCTGAGGACTTGATCGTGACCCGTGCCTTTAATCTTTTCATGAATAGGAAAATGAGAAGATCGCCAACATCCACAGACGTCACTCTCCTGATGCACCACAAATGGTATTTCCCCCTCCATTTCTTAACGTCCGTATGCTTATTCCTGGTGACACATGCTCACTGTTGGAAACTTTTTTATGGAGCGAATTGAAAATAATTATTCAATGTCATTTTTGGTCTGTACCTTGTTGTAATGTGCAAATTTTCGAGACCACTTCATGAATATGCAAGTGGGCGCTCGTTGATGTCAATGGGACTAACGCCTATAATGCACAGCGTGATTCTACTCTGCCCACGTGTGGACTAACCGCCATTAACCTTTGCTTCCGAAAACCAGAGGCGCGTCGAGTGCAGACCACACAACACAAGTGACGACGGCCTCCAAGTAAATCTGATAACTAGTGGTTCATAGTGATAGCTGATAGTTGGTAAATGATAGTTGTAATTAGTGACAACTGATAGAATACAACTGCAACAGGCTAATCATTTCATTGGCAGAAAAACATTCACATTCTGTGAGGATTCGTCGTCACTTAATGTTGCCTGG